GCGTCGTTTGGCACCACCAGGGGAACAGCATCAACATCAAGAGAAGAGCTGTTTGGGGCGCAGGTAGTCAACCCGGCTGACCTGGGGTTGTGAGCCATTTGGAGCCGACCCGCTTTGTTGACCCGGCCCTGGGAGCTCTCCTCTGTGGCCGATCCACTTTCGAGCCACGGCCTTGGCTGAGGAGGCGACAACCCACCCCCACCCCCAGTCCCGACGCCCACCCCCGAGCCCGCGATCCAGGGGGTCGGGACTGGGGGTGGGGGTGGGTTTTCTCCATTCCTGGACCCCGAAAACCCACCCCCACCCCCAGTCCCGACCCCCTGGATCGCGGGCTTGGGGGTGGGCGTCGGGACTGGGGGTGGGGGTGGGTTGTCGCCTTCTCATTGGCTGACCCGCGCTGGTATGGCCGAATCGTCGCGCAGTTCTGGAGTGTCTGGAAAAGGTGGCGCGAGGGAAGGTTACAGAGGGGTTCGAATGCGCTCGCAAGATGTTCAGTGCTTTCGGAAGGTGCTCTGGAAAATTCCAGAAAGATTCAGAAGGCCTCTCCGGGTGAATGATGGTGAATGTAGACAGCATTGGGCGATATTATCGAATGGCCTTCGAATGGCCTTCGGCCCATCTCGCCACCGTGCCTGGGTCGTGGGTCAGAGTCCTCAGGAATGCTTGGGGTCACTTCGGAGCGCTCTTTGGGGCCTCTTGGGGGGCCTCTTGGGGGCCTCTTAGCAGCCTCTTCGGTGCCTCTTGGGGCTTCCTGAGTGCCTCTTGGTGGCTTCTTGGGGCCTTTGGGGGGCCTCTTGGAGCCTCTTGAGGCCTTCTGGGAGCCTCGGGACCGAAGGCTCGAAACGTCCGCTCGGCCCCCCGTCTGTGCCCCCTCTTGGAGCCGTCTTGGGGGGCTTCTTGGGCCGTCTTGGAGGCCTCCTGGGCCCTTTTGGGTCTTTTTGGAGCCCTCTTGGAGGCCTCTTCGGTTGTCCTGGAGCGACATTGCGGGCCTCTTGGGCCGTCTTTGAGCGGCGGAAAGCCGAAAAGGCGAGAACGTCAATGTCACTCCAACACCGCAGGAAAATCAATGTTTTTTGCCTCTTGGGCCCTCTTGGGAGTGGTCTTGGAGGCTTCTTAGGGGCGTTTTCGAGGCCTCTTGGGCCGTCTGGAGGCCATCTTGAGCGTCTTGGAGCGATCTTTCGGCGATCCTGTGCCCTCTTGGACCGTCTGGGCGGCCTCCCAGGGCTTTCTTGGCCCGTTGTGGGGCCCTCCTGAGCGAGGGGGCAGTCCCGGAGGCCCTCGCGACACACCCCACGAGCGTCTGGGACCGCTCGGGAAACTCGGGTTCTGGGCCCTTGGGAACCTTGCAGACCCTCTACTTCTCAGGGCTGCATGATCCTTCGTGCACTCCACTTCGTGCCAGAGGCACAGCGGCAGATAGAGCCCGTTGAACCCGCAGAGTCGGAGCCATGGCGAGCCCTCCGGGGGGAAACTTGCACGCAGATTCATATTGTGAAGGTCTGCCGGCCTGTGCCGCCGACCCTGAAAGACATCGACGACGACCAGGAGGTGGAGGAGAAGGAGGAGGAGGAGGAGGAGGAGGAGGAGGAGGAGGAGAACGAGGAGGAGGAGGAGGCGGAGATAAAGAGGAGGAGGAGGAGGAGGAGGAGGAGGAGAAGGAAGAGGAGAAGGAGGAGGAAAAGGACTTCCCCCTGGGACCCCCCCCCCCGGGGAGGAGGACCGGAGGAGGACGGGCGTGGGAGAGGGGAGGGGAGGGAGCGGAGGACCCCCCCGGACGGATGCGTATCTGACTCCCCCCCCCTGGGACCCGAGGAGGACCGGCGCGCAAGAGAAGGACCCCCAGAAGCGATGCGAATCTGACTCCCCCCCCTTCCCCAGGACCCCCCCCCCCGCCGGGGAAGGGACAAGGGGAAGGGGCTCCCCTTTGACGTAATGAGGACGTGGATGGAATTCCCTCAAACTGCGAACCCGTTCCCCGAACGAAGAGGGGTGCTCTCTCTTTCTCTTTCTCCCCCGACGGGAGAGGAGGATGGGAAGGAGGGGACGAAAGAAGGCTCTCCGTCGACGGGACCGGACAGGCACCCCACAAACGCCGACAGGGTCGGCGGATTTGTTTTGCGCTTTACCGACGTTGCAATCGGTGGGTTCTCGGCGGGATGGCTCTCACGAGCTCTGGTACCATTCGCTGCAATTCGTGGTGCTTCGCGTATCCCCGCCAGTCGTGGGCTGTTCGCGCTGCCTTTGCTTATTTCGTCTCTGCGTAGCCCGCTTTGACCTGACTCGCCCCCGGCGCGCTCGCCCGCGGCCGCTGACTAGAAAGTATCCCCACCAGTCCGTGCAGAAACGATGCCCACGAGAGTTGCCTGGAGGAGGGGCGTTTTTGTATGCGTGCAGTCAAGCAGGGATGCCATCGGTTGTGAAGTTAGAGACTTCGGGGGCCTCTTGGGGCTCTCTTGGGGCTGGGCTCTCTTTCGGGGCCCTGGAGGGCCTCTTAGGGCCA